GTTTGTTTGTTATATGATGATATTACATCCATATTGCGACCGCTTCGTCTATATTTGTTTGTTACATAATGTATTACATTTATAGCGGGACCCGTTTCGTCTCTATTTGTTTGTTATATGATGATATTATTTGTGTTAAATTATAATACTACGTCCACAGCGGGACCAGTTTCATCTATATACGTTTATGTTACTTGTTTTTTACATCGTGATATTAGGTTTCTCGATGGATTATGACTCGATTGGACTTGATGTATTTTCAATATACAGTATATTAATATTACATCCGTACTGATGTTTTTAATGTTGATATCTCATGCTGATACACAATCAGACAAACATACTTTTCTGATATTTAACAAATAATTTATTTTCCACCGCCACCTCTGAAACACAATCTTTTTTTTTTATTTGAACAATTACATAGTTTAATTGTTAATGATTACTTCTACCATCCCTAATGAGTTCTCTAGTTTCAGTACCTTTATAGCAAGTTATTCCCAAAAAAACTACCAGTCTGTCCAATTCTAGAACTTTCCACAATTAAGTGAACCGTAAAAAATGATGAAATTATGGTTACTCACACTGCATGTTTACTTGTAAGATTATTACTACACCGATAGTTTGGCACATACACAGAAACTGGTCAGTTAAATAGAAATAATTCTCATTGGTAAACTATAAAAAAAATTGAAAATCCAACTTTTTTTTCATTTTAAAATTTTGCATCATGATGAATTTTTCGCGATACACTTTCAAATCTTATGCGCCGTTTCTAGACCTTAAAATTCACGTGTCAAAGTTTAAAACACTTAACTTGCAGCGACTTAAAGCACTGTCAAAAGCATTAAATTAGTATACTTAAGGCCTTCTACTGGGACAACCCTACTTTCACTGTATCTGTTGTCAAATTACCCGTTTCTCTCTTCATATCATTAAGCATCACACCGTTTCTAAATACTTCACAATTAATTCTATTAATTTTTACTCTTTTGATGTCCTTAACTGAGATTGCATGTTAAATTTAAGTCACATATTCTTTTTAATTAACTTTGATAAACCGAGATCTAGGGCAAAAGAAACACATTTGTACTTTGATTTGTAAAATCTGACAAATTTAAGTAAATGATAAGAGGACATGCTACACTACATTCTTCACCCAGCATATGTAATACCTTCATCATGCTACACTACATTCTTCACCCAGCATATGTAATACCTTCATCATACGTTAGGGAAGAGTCCAAAAAGTATTAGTGATAAACTGACTACATTCTTCACCCAGCATATGTAATACCTTCATCATACGTTAGGGAAGAGTCCAAAAAGTATTAGTGATAAACTGACAAAAAACAACATCTGGAAACAATAAATATTAATTAAAGCTTATAATTCTATGCTTGTTTTTTTGTTTGTTTGTTTTTAAATTAT